GGAAAGAGTTAGTTCTTAAATTCTGTGGTTATTTTTGAAGTAATTCTCTCTCCTTAGTATGTTTAGCAAATTCTTATTGGTGAGCTTTAAGTGCTAAATATTTTGTTGTTGTTACCATCCTAATAGAAGGGAAGGAACCAAGGTTAGTCAGAAGTGCAAAATAATCCCAGGAATAGAAGGCTAGGACTTATCACGGCAAAGAAGGAACAGAGGACAGGTAGAGGTTCATTATATAGCTGATACGGCAAATGTACGTAGAGGAAAAAGAACCCTGCGGTGTGGTGTGGGGCTTTTGTTGTGTTGTATTTTCCGAGGGTCCCGCTTTTGTGTGGTAGTAGAAAAGCAAGTTCCTACTGTGTGAAAAATTGAGGAATTCATCACAAGTCGAATTCATAAAAGTCAAATAGTAGCGGCATTAAGTTAGGCAAAGTGAGGTTAGGTTCAGTAATAGTAATTAAATGTGGTTCAAATGCAGCTTCTGTACCTCTTACACCTTACTGGAGAAAATTATAGGAGTGTTGCTACAGAAAACGATGGGGTGTTACTACAGACATGCCACACTGCACCACTGAGGGGTTTATGCTCTGTTTTCTTGGGGGCGGGGCGGTTCTTACTTGGGTTGGGGTTTTTTGGGGTTGTTTGGGGTTTTTTTGGTAGTTTCTGGGTTTGTTTTAAATGTGTGGGACACAGAACGTGATGTTAGATTGGCTTTTGTTCAAAGTCTTCGTGCCTTGGGCTGCCTTCTAGGAAAATAACAATCACATCCTTCCGCAATCTTGCTGTTTACTTGGATCCTGAAATGCGATGCCCGACTAACACTGGTGTCTTTTGATATTAAAATATTGGAAGAGTAGAATTTCTCCCAAAACTAAATAATAGATTGAAAGACGGCCTAAAGCAGGTATGTGCAATTAATTAAAGCTAATGTTAAACATAAACTCCTCTGAATTTCATTGCACTTTTTGATGCTTGTGTAGTGTTGTTGTTAGCGTTGCTAACTTTTTTCCAACTGGAATGTTATTTCAGACTGTTTGTGATGTTTGAAGAACACACGACAATATTGACTGTTATTCAGTGGTAATCACTGGGACGTGCTCCTGCAGAAGCAGAGTATTGATATCTGTTGAGTATTTGCCAGTTCTTAAGATGTTCTTAGTTACTCTTCTGTAAAAGTGGACTTGTGTAAAGTTCTGAGGGGAAAGAGATAGGGCTGTGTGTAGTTAGAAAAATGAGTAGAGTGTTCAAGTTCTTTAAAGCTGAAAATAGCACAGACGTTTTATAACAGCCTGAGGCTCTTAACTTCACATTCTAAAAGACTCGCTGAGCAGAAGTGAGGCATCAGGAGAACTGGTGCGTATCATAGGAGGTTACAGGGACTGCATTTGGCTTGTGATGTGTACAATAATAATATTTTTTAAAATCATCTGCAGAATCATAGTGTCGTTATTGATAGCACTACCAGAAGTTGTGCTGCATACGCGTTCGACTGCTAGAAGGGATATCGGGCTTCAAAATAGAAGTTACGTGATGAAATCCAAGTTTGCCATATTCCCAGTTACAGCGAGTCTCTGCAGAGAGAAAGGTGGTAGCATCTGTTAGATACCTGAACTATAGTTTTGTTTTGCCAAATTCTTGATAGTTTAGTCCTGAGCTAGTAGAATGGTAGGTGCAATACCTGCAGGCAATAAGGTTTAGCTTTTGTCAGCCCCAGTGAGTAAATGAACTTCTGATGCTTGGTTTTTGCAGTCAAATAATGTAGACAGGTTACTCAGCCCAGTTAGGAAATACAGCAGAAAATAGAAGCATTTGCAGTTAAAGGTCTTGGCTTCTGTTAGACTTGAAGGAGGTGGAAAAGTCAGGTGTTTCACCTTGCGTTTGCATGATCTTTTCGAAGATGGTTTGCGCCAGGGTGTAAATATGATGTTGTCGTTGCCATGACGCTAGACGGTCTCTTGTCAGAGGGTGGAAGGGGTTACAAGTCCAGAATCAAGGCTCGGTTCCTGGTGTGTTGTCATCCTGGCTGAAGAGGGGAGACCCGTCTGCTTCCCTTCTCTCTGCTGCGGTGCTTATCTGACGTGCATCTCTGGTCATTGTGGGTTTTCTGCCGGGTTAGTGGTGTGAACCGATTTACGGAGAGGCCTGGCGGAGCACCAGAGCCAGTGTGAGGGAGCGATCGGGCCCGAGTTCTTGGAGTCAGAAGGGGAGGAGGAGAAAGGCTCCATCACAAGGAGAGGTCAGGTGATTAGATCAGTTCAGCTGCTTGTGGCTCCCCCCCCCGCCCTGCAACCTGAACTGCTGCACGAGGCAGGGATTGAGGCAGGTAATCTGGGTAAATGTGTGGTTTTATTCTGGGGCTGCGTGAGCATGCTTAGGTTTGGTTTAGTGCCTTGAAGTACGGCTTTGGTTCTGTGGGTACATGCAGTGTGGGAAGGAACACTCCCTGAGGCAGTCTGTATCGTGTTACCTGGTATTCCTTCCCCAGCGGGGCTGGGAACTTGGTGCTAAATATTCCAGCTGTTTCAAGGGAGTTCTGCTTTAGCTGGTTTGATTAACTACCAATCTGTATGACCTGCTGCTGAGACTGCGCACTGGTAGACACAGCTTGCTTTTACGGCTGTTGAGTTTTCATATGGAAACTTGAGATCAATAAATATCTTTCATAAGTAAGCATTGCCAGTGTCTTAGTGGCATCAGTTTTACATACTGTAAAATAAACATGTTTTGCACACTAATTTTGTGAAATCATTGCAGACAGTCAAGTGCTGTAACAGAGCTAGTCAGAATTCTGCAGGATCCCGACTCATATGTCAGAATTTCGAAGTGATGTGTTGCATGTGCCCTCCGTTACGGGCTGGTACCCTTAGTTGTGCTTGTTTTGGTTTTGACCTTGAGTTTGACATCCTACAGATGTAACCCTTGTCTTTTGTCAGGGGGTGTCGTGGCCCCGTTTTGTGTAAATTCTTGCGTCCAGAAAAGAATGTCTTAATTCCTGAAGTGGATGGAGTACACGTACTTGATATTCAGGTGGTGAATTCAGAGGTGTTGAATACCTATAGCTTACTAGAATTTAGGCTGCGTAGAGTTTAGCTTGGAAAACTAGAGTTTAGGTTGGAAAAGACCTTTCAGATCAAGTGCAGCCATTCATCTGGCAATGCCAGGTCCACCACTAAACCATCCCCCCTGAGCACCACTTCTATGTGTCTTTTAAATACCTCCAGGGACGGTGACTCCACCACTTCCCTGGGCAGCCTGTTCCAATGCTTGATAACCCTTTTGGGAAGTGGAGAAAAATACTTCATAATTATCTTTTTTTAGTGGAGGCTGCTGTGGCGATAATGGTTTATACTTGTGGCAGATGAAGGCATCTTTGATAGTGAATTCCATGTCTGACTTAAATAGTATCTTACTAACTTTCCTATTAATTCTGAATTAATTTCTAGTATAACTTCCTGATTTAGAATGGTTTGTTAAATTTCATGTAGCTTGTACGTTGATATACCCCTGGGCTAAGCAGTACTTAAGAGCACAGTGTTTTCATGTTGCTCCCTGTACTGCGCACCTTTAATTCTGGCGGTGCGGACCAAAGAGGGATGGATCTGTTTTCCCTCTTGGTGAAAACTGGAGGTGGGAAACAGAATAACCTTTGCTACAATAAAGAGAGGTACACTTACTATTCCTGGTCTTGGATATATATTTTTAAATTTCTTTTCAGTTTCTCTTTCTTTCCTAGCAATAATTAGCTTTCACTTTCTGCTGCCCTTAACTTCCAGTTGAGGAAAAAAAAAAGAAATATCGGAATATCAGTAGTGCAACTTGCCATTTTGTCAGCCTCTCTCCCAAGGAGTAGACGAGGGAAATGGACAGAAACTAATTGAGTGCTTTAAAATTCAACTCTGCCTGTTATGTAGATGGAAGGTGTAAGAGTGTGAGTATATAAAAGCTTGAAACTTAATTTAAAAATAACTGACCTTATCGTATAGCAATTTATTCTATACCCTTAAGCTCACCTTACTTACCTGCCTTTGCCAAGCTGAGGGCTCAGATTCTAATTGTTAGACAGTCAAGTGTTTCAAGGAGACTTAGAAGAGAAGCAAAACCTGCTAATTTAGATACACTGGGAAATGTTATATAAAATTTCTAAGTAGCAAATGGAAATTTTACATTTTACCAGCTTCTTGTTTGCCGATGAAACCCCAAACCCCTACTAGCTGAAGGTGTGTATGTGTTAGAGGTAGATTAGTTTTTGCTTTTTGGGAATGTGGGTAAGCTCTGTTTCTAGGCTACTAACTTGCATATTCTTTGCCTGAATGTAGTTTGCATTTTTATGAGATCAAGAACTCGGTAGGAAGAAGGCTAAACATCTGGAATTTTTTTTTTTCTCTCTCCAGATATGAGAAATGAGTGTTGGACGCAGAAGATTAAAGCTGCTGGGAATTCTTATGATGGTAAATATTTTTATTTATGTGATCGTGGAAGTCTCAAAAAGCGGCAGCCAGGAGAAGAATGCAAAAGGCCGTGTTATTATACCGCGCAGCAAATTTTGGAGAAAATATACTCCTCACAAAGCTTATTGGAACAAACATCAACAGAAGCTTGAACTACTGTACAACCCTATTCTGACCTTGCTTTCCAATATGACTGTGGAAGAGAACTTACTTTCTAACTCGAGTCTTCTCAATTCCTGTGACCCTGACCCGTGGGTATCTTCAGAAGTTAGTGACTTCGCAAACTTACCAGACAGATTCAAAGACTTTCTCCTTTATTTGAGATGTAGAAATTATTCACTGTTAATGGATCAGCCAAACAAGTGCAAACACAAACCTTTTCTGCTGCTGGCTATTAAGTCCCTCACACCCCATTTTGATAGAAGGCAAGCAATTAGGGAATCCTGGGGCAAGGAAATAAAATCAGGGGATGTGACAGTCAAAAGGGTCTTCTTACTTGGACAGACCCCACCAGAGGATAATTTTCCTGATCTTTCAGACATGATAAAATTTGAGAGTGAAACCCACCAAGACATTCTCCTCTGGAACTACAGAGACACTTTCTTCAATTTAACTCTGAAAGAGGTGCTGTTTCTTAAGTGGGTCAGCAGCAGTTGTGCAGATGTCGAGTTTATTTTTAAGGGTGATGATGATGTTTTTGTGAATACCCATCAGATCCTGGATTACTTGAAGAGCCTATCAAAGGACAAAGCCAAAGACTTATTTATAGGTGATGTGATCAAAGATGCTGGACCTCACAGAGACAAAAAATTGAAGTACTACATCCCAGAGAGTGTTTATGAAGGTTCGTATCCTCCATACGCCGGAGGTGGTGGGTTTCTGTACTCTGGTGATCTGGCGTTAAGACTGAATAATGCATCTGACCAGGTACTCCTTTACCCTATTGATGATGTTTATACTGGAATGTGCCTTCAGAAGCTTGGGCTTGCTCCGGAAAAACACAAAGGCTTCAAGACATTTGATATCGAAGAGAAATACAGAAATAACATATGTTCCTACACAAACTTAATGTTAGTACATAGTAGAAAACCACAAGAAATGATTAAGATTTGGACACGCTTGCAAGATCCACATTTAAATTGTTAAAGTAATGTGCATAGGTGTCTTAAGTCCCAATAACTTTCCACGTCTGGGTCTGACTTTTTTGATGGGCCATTGAAGCTTTGTTTAGTAGTTCAATTTTGTTTGGAAACTAAGATTTGAGGGGTTGGCTTGAAGACTTGGTCCTGACTTTTCCACTGCCCTGGTGGTCATTCTGTTTCAATATTTGTCTTAAATTAATTTTAAAAAGGACTACAGGGATGTAACTGGCTGTCAGTAACTGGCTGGCTGTATTGGAAACAAGGAATGCCTACTACAGTACATCTTTCATTGATCATTTTGGTGGAAGATAACTTTTCCTTCAGTAGTGTATGTGTGGGGGTGTGTGGAAACCACAGTGAGTTGAAAATTCACAAATTGGAGGAATGTAGTTTTACTTTAAGTATGAAACACTCTTACAGGACTTTACTGAATTTTTTTAATTTATAGTTTTCAGTCTTTTTGCACCCCTGAACAGTATGATCTTTCGTGCAAAGCGTGCCTATGTCTGAAGGATTTACCCTTTTATTAGGTGATGGTTCTCTTTACAAAGAAAGCATAGTGCTGTTTGAAACGCCCTGTAAAGGAGCTGAATACGTAAGGAGAAGTAAGAGCAGACCTTGTTTGGGGCTGATAGGTACGGTTAGGTGTGCTCCCTGCCTCAGGCTCACGTGAGGCAAAGCTGACTTGTTGCTCCTGTTCCGTATGTGGAAGGCTACTCTGGTCATCCCTTGTTTTCTGTTTTGGCACTAAATGTGATCAGGTAGCTCGATTCGATGCAAGTAACTGAAATTGCACGTTGCTTACAGGAGCATGGTTTGAGTCTCCTATAGAACGGTGGCAAATCTAGAATTCTGCAGATCCTAAGAGTTTCGAATTTTGAAACAAGCTTCAGAAGTTGCATGATGTCTCATGTAGAGTTAAACATGTTCTCAAAACTCAGATCTTCTGTATTTCCCCATCTTGCTTATAAGAGTTATTCTAAATAGTGGTTGCTTCCTTTGTATATGTAGAAGTGCCTGTCTATTTATTGTTCAGATTGAAGACCAAAACATTTTCTTAAATATATTTTGTGTAACATTTTATTTGTATAGTGTTGTCACTCAGATATTTAAATAGAGCATGTTATTTTAAATCTGTGAGATGTGTAACGTTAAATAAAGCTAATTGTTATTTTTGAATTTGAAAAATAAAATGTGATTTAAATATTCCTTGCAGTGCTTCGTTTGAGACAAAACATTGACTTAGGGAGTGCAGTTGCACTCTGCTGCGTCGTGGCATTTGGTAACAATGCATTTCAGAAGTTCAGGAGCAAAAGGCTTTATTTGTCAAATATCTAATGCCTGTTTAGCCGACTATCAAGAAAATGTTGCTGTAATTGTGCATGGATTTACTAGATGCTGTAACAGTTGAGCAACTTTGACAAAAGCAAGGGAACATTTAAGTACCCTAGGAAAAATAGTACGTACAGAAAGAATTGTACAGTTGAAAGGAGTCAGTGGATGGATTGAATGGCTGGCACTTCGGGTTTTGTTTGAAATAACTTGGCAGCTGCAGCTCTTTTGGCTTCTTCACCTGCCTTCTTGTTCCTGTGTTTACCTGGAAGAAAAAATGAGGTGCTTTTTTTTGTTTGGGGACAGGTGAGGTGGTCTGGTCTTCCACCTTTGTGTTCTGCAGCTGTTGGTGTCCCCCAGGGAGGACAGCTAAGAGAAGGACTGTGCTTTGGCCCCTGGGCATTGTCATTCCTCATGAGAAATTAGACCTTTCCGAAAGAGCTGCAGGTTTTGCTGTACTACTCTGTTCTTCCTAGCCACTCTAAGCACCCTGTTTTTTTCTAAATATTAGCAGGATTTTTGTCATGAACTTGCGCCCAAGATTCTTCATAAACTAGAGACAGAGAGGAAGAGGAGAGGACTGTGGGTGAGCAAAGACAGAAGGAGAGAGAGGCAAGTGAGCCCTAAACGTAGTGATGAGTTCCAGGGAAGGATCAAATACAAAAAAAATGGGTTGCAGAAAGGAGGGACGGGGGAAGATCCCAGGAATTAAATCGTATGAGTAAGATAGGGTGGAGTGCACATGTGATATCAGCCTGTTAGTGAAATGGGTGGCACTGGTGGTGTGCCAGCATTAATTATTTACTTTGTACCCTTCCTGTAACCAAGAGATTAAAACCAGGCTTCTTGTATAGGACACAGCTGAGTATAAGGAAAGGGATTGGATGGTACTTGCCGAGGAGAAATACTGTGGAGAAGCATCCACCAGCCTTCTGAAGTCACTAGAGAAGAGGAAGAGGGCAGGGTAGAAGGGCGAGTGGGTGGCCCCGGTGAGCTAAGCAGGGAAAAGGAACTGGAGAAGAAGCTGGACAGAGTTCTGTGTGCTCTGGGTGTGACAAAGCGTGCGTGACTGTCCTGTCCAGTTAGGCCGCTGGTCCACTCCCATGGAGAAAAAATTGTTTTGGCGAAGAACTGGGAGTAAAGGTTAAGTGGAATAAATAAAACAGAGATAAGGAGATGGAGTGCAACCAAAAGAAACGACCGGTGGTAGGAATGAGATTTGGGGACAGTTGGGAAAGAGAAGGTGAAAAGTCTTTAAAAAGTAGACACAGTTGTAGGTTGTAGCTGTGTTTGGTTGCATTTTGTTTTCATTGGGTTGGGTTTTTGTCATTGCGGGTTCCTGGCTTTTGGAGCATTGCTTTAGTACTAGATACTGTAAACGAAGAAAGTAACATAAATCAGGAATAATTATGTTTTAATTGGACTGTATTCCTATGAAGTAAATTTAGAGTTGCGGAAACAATGAGCTGTAAGATCAATATATAAAAAACTTTTTTGAAATTAGTGAAAAGTGATCTGAGAAATGCAAGGAGCTAAAGATGGATTATATTTTTTCTTAAATTTAAGGATGAAAGCATGAGAAAATTTGACTCCAATGAGAATAATGGAAATAATGGAATTTGGAAACTGAAATAAGAGGTGTTTAGGTGAGATTGTTGAATGTGAATGCAGTCTTTATGGTTTTTTCCTTCTTTGAATACAGGAGGGCAAGTTAAGTGCTGCTGTTATTAAATGACATCATAGCAGGGTGAGCTGTTAGAGTCCATTAGCTTGTTTGTATAAAAGCTCAGGCCTTTGCTTCTAAATTCAGCTGGGAGGAGGAAATTCAGGCCTTTGGATAAGGAAAGTAAATAAGCCATAATTAATGCACAAATGAAAATGTTTATCTTCTAGAGAAGGGAATCCCTTTTTTCCTAAATAAAGAATTTCTCCCAGTTGGTTACTTGAACTGTATTCACCTACACTTGTATCCCTTCTCCCCCTCCGCAGTTTTATTTTGCTACGCAGACTTCAGTGAAATGCAGCACTGGACAGGACTTTATGAGAATTCCTGACAATCCTTTCTGCTTTTCAGTGTTGAAAGCACTGAAAGCCAAATTTCAGAAGAGTTTTGGCTGGAGAATACAAGAAAGATGCAGACTAGAATTAAGTAAAGCTTGTGCATGTAGTATGCAATTGAGCAAGGCTGTGCGTGCAGGTAATTCTTGATTTGGGGGTTTGTGATGGGGTGATGAGCAGTCGAGCTGTAATCTGGTGCTGCTGTTGTGCTCGTCTAATTTACAGTAAGCAGTTCACTCCCTGAAATCGGGCCACCTTTCCTTTTTCTGGCTTACTGCGTCCCACCTGCGTAAGATCTCCCCTGTAGCTGTATTTGCCTGAGGACACCGATCTAAATGAGTTCGTGCCTACACTGAACTGTTTCCTTCTCGCAGAGCAACCGTTAAACCAGCTTGGGAGGGTGAACTGCTTAATGGGTTCCCTTTGCAGACAATAATAATACAGGGAGGTGGACTGAAAGAAGGAATGTCAATCAGTATGAGCACAAATTATCACTCTGCAAGTTTTCAGCCTCTTTTTAAAGCTGTGGCTTTGTTCCTTGCTGGGTGAAGATGAGAACAGGGGTGGGAGTGAAAACTTGGTAAAGGAAGCGCAGCTCTGGAAGCCAAGTCATGGCCAATAAGCCCCACGTTGCGCAGAGAGGTGTCTGCTGGCGTTTTTTCCAAGAAGGAAAGTCGAATCAAGCTTTTATTCTGTTGTACTCAGATCAGCCCTCTAATTTCTAGGCTCGACTTACTTCTGCTTATTTAGCTGGTGTCCTGGGTCATTTTCTGTCTTTGCTGCTAAGCTCCCCATTTAAATGTGTCCATCTCTCTTACCTTGCCATCATGTCCCCTCTGCTCTGTGTTGTCTTGGCTGTTGGTGAAGACCAAGTGCTCCCTTCTCCAGTAAACTCCAAGGTTTACTGAAAACAGAAACGCCTCTTTGGATCCACTGGAATGGATAGATGTTCCTCTCTCTTGCAGATGGCCTTTGACTCAGAGTACGTGATGATTTTGTGGCTTCCATGTTCAGTGACAGACCCTTGGACTACAGAGGAAAGAGTCTGTTCCGACAGTGCTCATTGGGAATTCAGCTTTGAAAAAAAATAATAAAATCTCTGACTTTTATCAGATCCTGATTTAAATCGTGGAGTAAGTGGCGGGAAAAGTGCTGAGCTACAGATAAAGCAGTTTTTAACTTAGCTTTTCTACTGTCACTGCTATTGTGATTTCTTTAAACAAAATTGCTCTGGGCAGATTTGGAGTTACTACAAGGGTTAGAAATAATCCATAAAGATCCCCTCTTAGCTTTTAAAGCCAAGACCTGCTGCTTAGTATTTGTTGTGGCTGTATTTTTGTGTCCTTTTCCCCTCTTCCTCCATCCCTCTGGCTCGATTTTGACCGAGTTCTGCTTTTTGCTGTTTCTGCAGTGTGAAGAAACAGACTACCTGAGAACAAACAAAACCAAAGAAAGGATAATGACCCTCATACCCACTCAGCTGAGAGCAAAACCGGGAGGTCCACTCACCTGTGCTGTGCTTTCTCCTGCTCTTGATTGTGTGTTAGGGCAGGAGAGAATGTGGACTCCTGGAGACATGCAAGGTGTAGACACATTTTATCTAAAAATAAGCTGTCAACGGTGTTTTTTAAACTGCTGTGCTGCACTTGAAATCATTCACTCACAGAATCACAGAATGTTGGGGTTGGAA